CGAAAAATAAAGACATTATTAAATCTGCTAACGTTGCGAAAGGAGTTAAATCAATTTCTAAACAGAGATCGAAGACATTAGATCATGTTGAGAAATTGCTTTTGCTTTGGATAACTGAAAAACGGTGTGCTAGAGACAGCGTATCGGAAGCAATTATTTGCAAGAAAGCTAAAAAAATACATGCTGATCTCATGAAAAATCAAGCAGGAACTAGCCAGCCAGGAAAGCGAGGTGTTTAAAGCCATTTTTTATTTTTTTTTTTTTTTTTTTTTTACATATAATTTCTTAGAATGCATAAAAATGTGTGGCTTGTAATAAAATATAAACAAACATCATCTTATTTCATCAGTGCCTGCGGCAGAGAATGAAATACAAGCATAAGAAACAAAACAACTGTAATAAAAATATATAAATAAAAGTTGAAATTAATAGAATATGTAAAAGTTCACGTCGCACCTTTCACTATGTGACGGCACACCACTGTGCAAGCTGCACACAGGTTGCGGAATACTGGTCTATTTACGCAAAAATTTCTATTTTTATAAACAACGTTCTCTTTGTTTTTGCAACACCGGGATGAACTTTTTTCAATCTATTTCCACTTTTTGGAAACTTATCTCATAGTTAAATTTTTTTTTTTCATTTTACTAAGATTCGTTCTTTGAATTTAATAAAATAGAATTGAAAATTTTATAAAGAAACGCTTTTTATTAATAAAAATGCATTAAAAAGTAATACAAATAAATTGTCGTCAGCTTTCACAGTGTTCTTGGTGAATAAAAGCGTTAGGCGCTCGTGGGAAGTCCATAAAACCCGATACAAATTACGACTAAAAATATTTCTATACACTTTCATTTTTGGTACTAAAAAGTCAAAAATAAATGAAAAAAACATTTGTTTAAAACGTTTTCAAAATTTTTTATTTTCTACATTTTTATTTTATGTCTGTAGCCCTGACTTATAAAAATTCTTTTGATAGTACACAGTCAGTACAATCAAAAAGCGGAAACCAGTTATTCTACTTTTTGTGCCATTTACTATCAGATTTTTACAAATTTTAAGTTTTCGCTACAGTATATATATATACAAATACATATTCTGAGGTCAAGTGAAGACATCAGAATTTCCGGGTCTCTTTCGGTAACAAGTTCGCCCCTAGCCGGAGTCGGAGTCGGAGTCGGTAGATTTTTACGCGACTCTACAGCCCTGGTATATATACAAATACATACGGGTGCAAAATTTGAAGGAGATCGGAAATTGGGAAATGAATGAAAATTGAAAGACAGACGAAAGAACAGACAGAGTAATTTAATAAAAATCTTACAAAAATGTTTATTTTTTTTTCTTAATAAGTTGTACTTGATTTCTGCAATCTTCACTTAAATAAAGTGTGTAACATATTGGATGTAGTACTTTTAATTTTTATCATTGATATTAAATAATAATAACATATTAATTTATGAAATAATTATAACCTATTTATAAAATTTTGTATAGTTGCAAGCATATAAAAGTATAAATTGTAAGCAGAGTTTAAAATCTGCTACTCATTGGAACCCTTTCTTAATAAATCCACATCTGCGCTTGTCAAGAATTCGGAGAACTCAGAGGTCACAAAGGGAAGCGAATGGGGATAGAGCAGGAAAGGTCTTCACCTTTCTCCGTGCACGTGTGGGGAACGGGCGTAAAATTTATCTGTGCTTGTAATTACCTTTCTTTTTAGTTCAATCATTGTATTCTTAACTTTTGAGATGTTACATAAATATTCCGAATCCTAACACAATGAAAATTACAAATTATTTCTCGTAACGTTTTTGGGAGAATCAAGTTATCCTTATCGATAAATATTTAATTAAAACCTTTAAAGTAGAAATAATAGTTTAAAATGACAAATAAATAAATCGCTCCATTGGAAACTACAGTATTACACATTGGTTAAATGAGAATGCCTCACGGCGTGTGACGTAACAAAATAGATATAATAAATCCATACAATAGATGAAGCTGCATTCTCACCTACACATCTGTTCGATACATTTCACATAAATATGAAATATACTGCTGTTTGTTTTCTCTTTTTATGCTCGAGTTTAATAATTTTTTCCACGTCATCGTTTATCGAGTCGAGGCTGCTCGATGTTGATCCGGACGCAAACAGAAATGTGGTAAATTTAAAATTTACGTTTTACAATCTTTCAATGCTCGAATTTAATAATTTGTTCCACGTCATCGTTTATCGAGTCGAGGCTGCTCGAGGTTGATCCGGACGCAAACAGAAATGTGGTAAATTTAAAATTTACACGTTTTATAATCTTTTAATATATACTGTATATACATATTTGTTAAGTTTAAGTTTATTTTTATATTTGATATAGACCGAAATAATAATCAGCAGAGGCTATCCAGTGGAAGAATATACGGTCCAAACGAAGGATGGCTACCTTTTGAAACTATTTAGAATTCCCTATGGCCGAATAAGTCAAGAGCAAAACACCAAAAATCGGACAGTGGTCTTCCTGCAACACGGCCTTCTGGGATCTGCCATTGACTGGGTGATCAATTACCCTCACCAGAGCCTTGGTAAGTCATGTTTTTCGACGATTGATCTGTTTCAACGACTAAAACGTTTAAATTAGAAATGTATGGCTTAAAATTTAAAAATCGTTTACACATAAATTTCTTATTAATTATAACGGTATAATGGTATTTGAGGCGAAGCGTTAGAAAAGCATTTTCTGTGTGCTTAGAGAATTGCGTTTTTTTGAAATTCTGTTCGATCGATTTTGAGTAAACTCTGCCAGTTTTCATTAATTGAAGCGAGGTATGCAAAATATTATAAAAAATTTTACAGGTCAATTGTTCCAGATTACATTCCATATAAAATTTCATTGTCTTATAAAAACACCTGTTAAAACTCATTTTTCTAAGATAAAAATATTAATTTTTGTTTATACTTTTTACAGTCATTACGTTTTTACCAAGTTTAATTTTGTAGGGTGTATCGGACATGAGAAAAATCTGCAAGAAGACAATAACTTTTGGTTTCACAAACAACTTTTTATTATTAGATACAGTTATTATTGAGAAATGAATAAAAATACAAATTACAGATCGTAAACCTAAATTATTACATGATAAGAAAGTTGTATAAATGAGAAAAAATTTAAAAATTACCAATCTGAAAATTTAACAATTCGTTTTAGTGACAAATGCGTTCTGTGTTTATTTTTTCGGTAATGCAAACATGTCATTCATAAAAATATTTGTTTCCTTCAAGATCAGCGCAATTTTTGTGAGCCTGACCTACACAAATCGTACACTGAATCCAGTCTTTTTCAAAGCTTTCACCACAGATGATTCAGTGAGTCTTTTGGTCTTCTCTCTTTTCTTGAACTGATTTAGGCCTATCTACTGTCTTTTTTTTTCACTTTATGTTCCCCAGCAGATTTTTCTTGGCTGCATAGAGTCTTTCTTTTCCTTCTTTTATTTATTCTGCCGTAGTTTATCCATATTGTCTCGTAAAACAAAAACATTCCGTGAGAATATAATTCTTATCAATTTTAATAAACTGTTTCGGATACAACCCAAGTGGCATGCTGTCATTGGAAGCGGTGGATGCGCCGCTTCCCTTGTATTTTCTAAAAAATAAATACATATTAATTTTAATTATATGAAAAGAATCGCACAATATTTTATTATAACCGCATTGTGTATCTTATTACAAATTTCTATACTACAAGTGAAAAAAAATAAGATCGCTGTTGTATATTCGAATATTAGTGGCGGAGTGGAAGCACTGTATCGTCAGCATCCAAAAAGCTAGATTCGCGCATGCGCTTTATAGAGCACCAACCTCATCCGGTTTATCCGGTGGAAGCCCAGAACCTTGGGTGAATGCTACAAGTATAACGCATCCAATTCTATCTAGGACCGGTTCCGGGCTGTTAGCCGCCTGCCCGCTAGATATTTGTATAATGTTAAAAAGTTAACTGTTACTTCGACAGCATCACTTACAACTAAAGTTAATGAATGAGAGAGATGCACGAGATACAGAAAAAGCTCTAGAATTTATTTTCCTTAAATTTACGATTTATGTATCCGTTGTCTTAAAATTTGTCTTTCCACTTTTTCCCGAGACTACAAATATTCGAGTACACAGTAGCCGGTTTTCGGTTACTTAAAAAGTAGTTAAATAATTAAGCGATTGTGGACGTAAACACAACCCTGACGAAAGAACCGAAATTTTACTTAACAAAAGCTTAACCGAACCAATCTATAGCCGAGTACAGTGGGGACTGATTTCTTCGTAATATTAGATGTAATAAAGAGAAAATTTTCCAGTTCAATGCCAGTGACTGAAAAGTTGTAAATTTTAATTAAATTTCTTTTGACTGCTTTTTATATATAAATATTATAAATTCTCTGTAAATCCGCACTAAAAATATATAAATTTTAGGTTTAGGGGTAGACCAACACACAGCAGATAGCTAATCACTTCTCTTTATTTAATCACTGTATATGCATTTCGGTCCTATTAAAGAACCCTCTTCAGTACTACAAAATATAAATATTATAATAAGCCTTATGCGAGTAAAACTACCAATATAACAATTAATATTTTAGTTTTTCATTACCATTTAGGTACACAGCTTGGATTCACATTCCATTAGCACTTTCATATCAAGTGTATTTAGTAACTTTTTCTGATTGTCTATGGTCGTATTTCTAAATTACTATAATAAATATTATTCTAGATTAAAACTTAATAATTATTTACAACAATACCAAATTTTAAAAAACATTTACTATAAGATTCTTAAATATGGTGATTAAATATAACTTATAAAATTTAATTTTTAAGTAACATACCGTTTACAATAAATCAGGGATGTCCAACCTTTTTGTTTCTCTGGGCCGTATTGGAAGAAGTCAAGGAGTTTTGGGCCACCGGCAGTAGCGTAGCGTAGGGGGGGGGGGCAGCAGGGGCGGCCCGCCCCGGACTGCACTTTTTAGGGGGCGGCAAAATTTCACAATAAATAATAATAATAACTTATAAAATTTAATTTTTAAGTAACATACCGTTTACAATAAATCAGGGATGTCCAACCTTTTTGTTTCTCTGGGCCGTATTGGAAGAAGTCAAGGAGTTTTGGGCCACCGGCAGTAGCGTAGCGTAGGGGGGGGCAGCAGGGGCGGCCCGCCCCGGGCTGCACTTTTTAGGGGGCGGCAAAATTTCACAATAAATAATAATAATATCTTTTTTTTTCATATTTTTTCAATATCATATTTAAAACAATTTTTTTTCATATTTTCGTTTACCTACGACTCGGACTGATTGAAATGAGCATGGCAATAGTGTTTCCATTCATCCGGATAGTCCGCGAATCGACTCGCCGTCCGGGGATATCGTGCGTAACCTGTTGACCTTTTTTTTATTTTTGCTTTTTGTTTTTTTTTGTTTGATTGTGCGATTTATTTGTAATCATATACACCTCCAATATCTAATAGGGCTAAGTCACTTGCGTTACTCCTATCCAAGTCTCCCTAGTCCCTAACTGTAACTGATTTAGAACCGGCATGCACTGCAAATTATTCTTCGCATTGCAAAATGATACACTCATACGTCAGGAACTTCTGTTCAAACAAACCTCACCTGCCGTCCAGGTCGGCGATTTTAAAAAAGTGGCAATACTAGCACGGAATTTTTCATTACTTATTCTGTGAATTTTAGTCTTTTAAATTGAGATACCTAAATAAGGGGGCGGTGTAATTTTCCTCTGCCCCGGGCGACTGACACCCACGCTACGCCACTGGCCACAAGTACTGTACATATAATATATACTTGTGGTTCAATATATAAGTATATTTAAGGATTAACATGTCTAGATTATAATAATAAGTATTAAAACTTTATCAAGAAAAAGGATATTTTAAAAATTACTTCTACAGACACTTTCAATTTTTACTTAGAAATAGATAAATTCATTTATTATAAAAGAGACAAACGGAAATTTATTTGAAAAACACAAA